ACACTGATATCGATAAGAGTGAAAAAATAGTGAAAATAGTGTTTATTCTAAATTTTAAATTCTTAATAACAATTAAAAAAGTTTTGTATTAGTTTAAGTTCAAAATAGCTTTAGTTAAAATATCTTGAACAATTAATAAAAACTTTTTTGAAAGTGATATATAAGAAGTATTGATATTAAAATTTTGTCAGTTTACTAATTTGTTAATTTTTTAGAAAATTTATTTGAATTGAAAAATGCGATTTACCTCCTCGACTGGTAATTTTGAGGTGTGCTGATGGGATACTGCCAAATAAGCGTTCTGTAGCCAAATTAGCTAATAAATTATTGCTGAGACCATTTTCATTGTTCAGTGCTGCTGCAGCAACAGCGGCAACAGCAGCAGCGTTAGCAGTGTCAGCGGTACCGGCAACCGAGGAATAAGTTCGAGCTCGTTTTGCCGGTGCGGCACCATCAGAATCAGCGGATGATGTCGATTCACGTCCCGACATGTGCGAATGATGACCGCCACCACCGCCACTATTGCTACTGTTATTGCTATTATTGCCGTTCACATTGTTGTTTTTGTTGCGTGTATGTACTGAATGCCGCGTTACCGCTTCTACCGCGGCTCTGGAAAAGTTTCTTACCTTATTACAAATCATTTTTTATTTTGTTTCATGTCTACAAAATATATCTTTAAGGAACAAAATGAATGCTGATGAAGATATTTTTGAGGAATAATTCCGGAATTGGGAGAAATTATCCGGTTATGTCAATAAAGGAGTAGTGGAAATATTTTGAAGTTCAATTCAAAATCAATTTTCCATCTAATAATGAATTAATAATTTACCGTTGTGCTCGCTCAAATTGCCTCTGTTGTGCTTCCAAAACAGCCAACTGTTCGACATGATAAGCAGCTACTAAAGCTGCTTGTTGCGATGCCGGCCCTAAGCCAGCATCATCATCTAAGCCTAAAAATTATTAAAAAATTTTTTTAGAAATTACGACTATTCACATCTTTTACTACAGTTACTAACTTTTCATTCAAAATGTTTTTTTTTCCTTTTAAATAACCGTACATCAAACACACTGTTATTTATTTATCGGTTAAACAATCTAAAAAAGTATCATTACTTATTTACCATTTCTAAGATTTAAAGTACCATTGAGGTGTTTGTTAAGTAATGCGGTTGAGTTATGATGAGCTGTGGCAGCAGCGGCAGTTGCAGCAACCGAATATCCAACTTGCGGATAATTCGCAGATCCGGTTGATGCATTCCGTCTTCCTTCACGTCGATTCCCATCAATTGCTTGTTGTAAATCGGATGCCGTACTGAGACTTTCCTTCTCACATTCATAATCATACAAATACTTTTGATATCTAAAATATTTATTGTATTAGTGTATTAATCCAACATTCATATACCACAATGCCATACATATACTTGTAAAATATGAAAAATTTTTTAAAGATTAAAATAAAATTCATAAACTTAGCAAGTTTATTTTGAAAATTCCGACAATTTTAAATATTTAAAGAAAAAATTTTAT